ATTGGAAAAGTTCCTAATGTATCCCTATTGCATATGATGCTTGATTTTGATTTTTGATATTTGCTTTTTATGATATCAAGAAAAATTCCCCTTATTCCTGCACTTTGTCATTTGTTTGTTTGTTTGAGCATACGTGAGCTTCGTCCTTTGCCAAAGACTTTTCATATGAATCTATTTAGATAATCATGTTGTTTTGGGTGTTCAGATTTTTAGTATGATCAATTATATTGATTGTTTTCCTAATATTGAAGTATCTTTGCATCCCTGGCACAAATCCAACAAATCCAGTGACCTTTACAGTGTGAGAGCAGGGAAGAGTGGAGGTAAGAACTTGAAGATATTGGAAAAATTGTACAACAGCTGCTTTGTGGAATGGTTAAGGTGTCAAAAAGAGACAGATTAAAAATTTCTGGACATTATTGAGGTCCTGGATAAGGTCACACATTGATTCTAATTCAGAGGAAAAGACAAATTTCAGAGAAATTTATGAGGTCAAATTTACCTCAGACCTTTTGATTTCTCTTAGGAGTCCTAAAATCATGAGAGATCTGGGAGGTTTTCTTATATCATGGAATAATGCTTTGTAGATGTAAAATGTCCCTAAATAAGGTGTCATCCATCTTCTACTTGAGCTCTTTCAGTTACAAGGAGCTTCTTACCAAATAAAGTGGCTATCCCCCTTGTTTGGCTGACTGCTTTAGTTTTGAGAAAAGTCCTTATTAGACTGAGTAAAAATTTATCTCCCTAGAACTACTACTTCTTGGTACTAATACTCCCTCAGAGGTCATATAAGAAAAGCCAAAAGAAGGGAGAGGGCATGCCTATATGTCTATCTATTCATAAAGATAAATAGGACAAGAATTTGCCACCATAGGAAGAATAGCAGTTAGAACAATCAGAAGTAAAACAATCAGTCTTACTTCAGAAAGAATAGGACTCATTTCCTCAGCTGTCAATTCAAGAATGCACAAGTATGGCTAACAAATAAAATAAATTGTAGATATAAATGTCTGAGGCAAATTTGACTGGATTAGCTGTAACCGTGGCAGTGGTCACAGCTGCTTCTGGATCTCTCAGCCAACAGATGGTAAGGGGGTCGAGCAAGTGGTCAGAAGGAGATTACAGGGGTCTTTCTGCTAGCACTGGGGCAGGACTCTGTTGCTTTGCTCATACTTGGATCTGGTTGCAGTCCTGGGTGGCAGTCCCAGGGTGAGGAGGAATACTAACAGCAGAGCTTGTGGTCACAGTGGAGGAGGGACCCTCCTCACAGTTCCAGAGCAGGAAAGAGTGCTTGTGGTTGCTCACAGAGCAGAGCACAGGCCAGGAGAGTAGTAAACACCTCTCCTTAGATCATACCACCTTGGAAGAACTGAAAATGTGCAGGTCCCTAGAAGTGTCTCTGAAAATAGCTGCACAAAACCCCTCAATCTTGAGATAGTAAGTCCGCCACCCTGGAAGCAGGACCCTGCCTTAACAGAGTTAAAAAGTCAAGTAATAGACTGGAAAAATGAGCAAACAACAGAAAAACTCTGACTCTAAAAAGTTACTATGGTGATAAGGAAGACCAAAACACACACTCAGAAGAAGACAACAAAGTCAAAGCTTCTACATCCAAAGCCTCCAAGAAAAATATGAATTGTTCTCGGGCCACAGAATAGCTCAAAAAAGATTTTGAAAGTCAAGTAAGAGAAGTAGAGAAAAAATTAGGAAGAAAATTAAAATGATGCAAGAAAATCATAAGAAACAAGTCAACAGCTTGCTAAAGGAGACACAAAAATACTGAAGAAAATAACACTTTAAAAAACAGACTAGGCCAAATGGTAAAAGAGGTCCAAAAAACCATTGAGGAGAAGAATGCCTTCTTCTTGAAGAATGAGAAGAATGAGCAGAATTGGCCAAATGGAAAAGGAGGTCCAAAAGTTCACTGAAGAAATTAATTCCTTAAAAATTAGAGTGGAGCAAATGGAAGCTAATGACTTTATGAGAAATCAAGAAACCAAAAGAAGATGATGTGAAATATCTCATTGGAAAAACAACTGACCTGGAAAATAGATCTAGGAGAGATAATTTAAAAATTATTGGACTACCTGAAAGCCATGATCAAAAAAAGGGCCTAGACATCATCTTTCAAGCAGTTATCAAGAAAAAACTGCTCTGATATTCTAGAACCAGAGAATAAAATAGAAATTGAAAGAATCCATCAATTGCCTCCTGAAAGAGATCCCAAAATGAAAACTCCCAGGAATATTTTAGCCAAATCTCAGAGTTCCTAAATCAAGGAGAAAATATTGCAAGCAGTCAGAAAAACAATTCAAGTATCATGGAGCCACAATCAGGAAAACACAAGACTTAGCAGCTTCTACATTAAAGAACTGGAGGGCTTGGAATATGATATTCTGGGGGACAGAAAAGCTAGAATTGCAACATAGAATCACATAACCCAGCAAAGCTGAGGGGGGAAATGAACATTCAGTGAGATAGAGGAATTTCAAGCATTCTTGAGAAAAGACTAGAGCTGAATAGAAAATCTCACTTCAAATACAAGGCTCAAGAAAAAGCATAAAAAGGAAATGATGAGCAAAATGCTCTCAGAGAAAACTGGAAAAACTTACATGAGCTGATGCAAAATGAAATGTACTGTGGATAAAGTAACAGTAATATTGTAGGATGATCAGTTGTGAGTGACTTAGCTGTTTTCAGCAACACATAATCCAAGAGAGCTCTAAAAGACTTATAATGAAAAATGCTATTCATCCCCAAACAAAGAACTGATGGTGTCTGAATACAGATTGAAATATACTTTTTTAACTTTATTTTTCTTTTCTTTATTTTTTGTCTATGTTTTCTTTCACAACATGACTATTATGAACATATTTTGCATGACTGCACATGTATAACCCCTATTGAATTGCTTGCCTTCTCAACGGGGAGGGGTGGAAAGGTAGGAAGGGAGAGAATTTGGAACTCAAAGTTTTTAAAATGAATATTAAAAATTGTTTTTACATGTAATTGGGGGAATGTAAAACACTAAATAAATTAAACAAGAAAGTTACATATTGAACATATTACATACTATTTCATATATATGTGGATTGTAGAATATACTATTATATATGTATAATGTATAATATACTATTATATTTAAAGAAAACACAACTTTATACAATAGAGATTCACAATTTCACACATAATCTTTTTTTCTGTTCTACTTTGTATATGGAAATGCTCATTTTATTTGAAGTTTAAGTTTAACATATATATATATATTTAAACAAGTAGGTGAGTTTGAGGGGAATGCAGAGTATGTTGGGGTAGTGATATGAAATCAGCTGAGGAACACAGGTTGGAGTTAGAATTTGCAGGATTTTAAATGTCACAGGAGACGAATTTTTTTCCTAGCTACAATGGGGAGCTAGTGAAGCATCTTAAGCCAAGTAGTGAAATGGTCAGACCCATGTGTGAGGGTGATGAAGACAAAGATGATCATGAAAGCAACTGGACTTTCCACAGATGTACACATTCAATGTCTCATTGTCAAATGGAGCTGAACTTAGTTTTTCAGAGACTATGTCTTCAGAGCTCCAGTTCTTCCAGGTCCAACTAAAAAAAGAGACTTCACTTATGGTAGCAAGCAAAGCACAAAGAGGCTCATGAGGAGAACATTGGCCAACTTATGATTTTTTTTTTCCCAGGCAACTTGTAATGACCATCTGCTAAGGAATGGAGCAATTGGCACCTAGACTCCCAATGATGAAATCCTGTATTGATTTTCTCTAACTTCTTCTTCCTTTCCTGTACAATATTTCACAGTTTACAAAGCCCTTTCATATGCAATATTCGATTTGATGTATAGAATACAAACCACCTCAGTTCATCAGGGTTGGTCTTCCAATTCCCATTTTAGAAATGTAGAAATTGAGGAATTAAGATACTAAGTGACTTGCCCGAGGGCATACAGTTCTTAAGTTGTAGGCAGAGGCCTGAAATTCTGGCCTTGTCACTCCATTTCCAGCACTTTCTTAAGCTACAAAAATGTCTTGTGGAAGCAGGAGATGTTGAAGCAGATGTTATTTTGGTGGAAACTCCATGAATAAAGGCCATGAAGAATAAGATTGAGGTCATTTATAGTCAAGAGCAGAGTGGGCCAGTAAGGTAGGAACCTTGAGGTTCATCAACCAACATTTCTTAGGCACTCTGTTAAGCAGTGAGAATACAAAAAGAGGCAAAAGACAGTCCTTGGCCTCAAGGAGCTTACAGTCTAATGGGGGAGACAACATGTAAACAAATACATAAAAATAAGGATTAATAGGAAATCATTAACAGAGGGGAACGACTAGAATTAAGAGGTGTTGAGAAAGGCTTCTAGGAAAAATGGGATTTTTAAAAAGTTGGGACTTAAATGAAAGAAAAGAAGCCAGTAGGTGGAGTTGAGTAGAGAGAGAATTCCAGACAAGGGGGACAAGCCTGAGAAAAATGCCCAGAGCCAAGAAATGGAGTGTCTTGTTCATGGAACAGCAAAGAGGCTAGTGTTCATGGAGCCAAGTGTAAGTGGTATGAAATAAGGTATTGGAAGACTGGAAAGGGAGAAAGGGCTAGGACTCATTGGTGGGGAACATGGGGCCTTGAGGCTGCATTTGGCCTTGTAGGTCCTTGGGTGGAGCCTTTTGAGTGAGTCCAAGTTTTACGGAACAAATCCTTTTATTAATTTAATTATTAATTTATTAGCCACTAGGTTATGAATGGATTTGGATGTCAAACAGCAGCTTTTGTATTTGACCCTAGCGTTGACAGGGAGACACTGGCATTAGCTGCACTGTGGAGAGTGGGGGTGGGGAGGGAGAGGTAAAAGCATCATACCTGTACTTTAGGAAAATCACTTTAGTGGCTAAATGGAGGATTGATTTGAATGGAGAGAGAATTGAGAAATCCAACATTTCTGCCTCCTAATATTTTCCTCAGAAGTAGCAGTGTCTTACTCCAAGGACCAGGAGCCAGCCCCATCACTGAGAGGAGGCTATTCTGCTAATGAGTCTCCTAAGGGCATCTTTTATGTCCTTATTCTTTAGTGTATAGATGAAGGGGTTCAACATGGGGGTGACCACAGCAAACATTGCTGATGCAACTGTGTTCTTCGAGGAAGAATGGGTAGCAGAAGAGCTCAAATATACTCCAAAACATGTGCCATAGAATAAGGAAACAACAGAGAGGTGAGATCCACAGGTAGAAAAGGCTTTATACTTACCATGAGCTGATGGGACTTTCAAAATGGAAGAACAGATCTGAATATAAGAGAAAAGGATCCCTGTGAGAGGGAGAAAACCCAATAGTCCAGCAACAAAATATATCAAAGCATAATTGATGAGAGTGTCAGAACAAGAGAGTTTCAGAACCTCAGCAAGATCACAAAAGAAGTGCTGAATTTCATGATCTGCACAGAAGGAGAGCTGTGTTACATTCAGACAGTGAATAAGGGAGTTTAGAAAGCTTATAATCCAGGAGAGCAGTACCAGTATGCTACAGAGCTGAGGGCTCATGATGGCTGCATAGAGGAGAGGGTGACAGATAGCTACAAAACGGTCATAGGCCATTGCAGTGAGGAGGAAATTGTCCAAACCAACAAAAACAATAAAGAAGTACATCTGGGCAAGACAACCAGCATAGGAAATGACCTTGTTTTTTGTCAAGATGCTCAGTAGCATCTTGGGGGCTGTGGTGGACACCATACAGATGTCCACAAAGGACAAGTTGGAAAGGAAGAAGTACATAGGGATGTGTAGGTGAGAGTCAGAGCCAATGGCCAACATTATGAGCAGGTTTTCAACCATGGTGACCAAGTACATGCCCAAGAACAGCCCAAAGAGAGGGCCCTGCTGCTCTGGCTTCTCAGAAAATCCCAGGAGGATGAATTCAGTGAATTGTGTTTGGTTTCCTGGTACCATGGGGCTGTCTTTTCTGCTGAGAAAGAGAAGTGAGAAGAGCAGGACATGAAAATACAGTCATCCTTGTATATGAAATGGAAAGAACCCTAGGCTGTGACTGAGGATTTCTAAGTTCTGTCCCTGTCTCTGCCACTTATTATCTTTGTGATCGTGGACAAATCAGTATTTCCACATTCAGTCTCCCTCAACGCAAGACAAAAGACTTGGATCTAATGATCTCTAAGATTCCTTCCAGTTCAGACAGTCTTTAAATCATGAACAATCAAATTTAGAAACAAACCTTTTATGAACACTATCTTACATTTGTTCCCAGCATCAGCAACCTTTGAGCACTGAAATGAAGGAGACACTATGGGCATGGTAGGTCCACTCTTACAGCCAACAGCAGAGAGAGAGGACAGCAATCTGGTATAACTGAAGTGTGTGGGATATCCAATCCTCAACTGAAATCATAAAATCACAGAGAAATGGAAGGGACCTTTTAGGACACACAATACAAAACTTTAATCTACAAAAAATCCTGGCACAAAAATATCCCTGGCAATTGGGCATCTGGCCTTTCCTTGAAGACCTCTATGGATAGGAAACCTCTCAGCTTCCTGAGGGAGCTTATTCCACTCTGGGTTTCCTTTCATTTTCCTTTCTATTGAGCCAAAATATGCCTTTCTCTCTCATCTCTTTCCCACATAACATCCCTTTAAATATATGAAGACAGCAAGCCTTATGCATATGTTTTCTCTCCTTTAAGCCAAGAAACTCTAATTCCTTCAGCTAATCATCATAAGCCCTTCACAATCCTAGTTACCATCCTTTCCATCCTATCTAGATCATCAATATCATTTCTAAGTTGTGGTACCCAGAACTGAACACAGAATTTCGGATGAGTTCTGACTAAGGTCACAGAAAATGGGATTATCACCTCCTTCCTAATGGAAGCTATGACTCCTTTAATGGAGGCTAAGGTTTCTTTAGATTATTTTATCTGCAGTATTTCTGCTGACTCATAGTGAATTTACTGTCTACTAGAAACTCTCAGATAATTTTTAAATTAATTACAGTCTTGTATGAAGAGGAAGTCTATGGGTTTGTGTGGATTTCCCTTTTCTTGTATGCTATAGCTACAAGTAGTCAGTGGTGGATACATCCTTTAAGTATTTGGTGAGCCTGTGTTGCTACGGATGAGGCTCCCCCAAGATAGCCGATGTCTGTATATATGAAAGGGCACCTCTCTGAGACTCTGCTCCATCAGCCTTGAATGGGTTCTGGGAGTTTCAGGTAATAACACCTTCCTCTTCTGACATGTCTTCTATAACCCCTCAAAACTCTGACGTTCTATATTCTAAAGTCCATATCAGCTGACCCTATGTTTTACATTCCTTTCCAAGATGTATGTGCTTTTGAAAAAGAAAAAAAATGTGGCCCAGGGTAACAATATTATGGATGGAAGAGAGACTCAAGTTAAAATGGGACTATTCACTCTAGTAAAGTATTTCTAGAGAAAATGGAGTTAGGTCTTCACCTAAGATTTTAGGGTAAAATTAACAACCTCAAAGAAGGACAGGCCACCTGGTATGTTCATTATATTAACCAGAGAAGTCAGGAACAGTCTGAATCAAAGGGACAGTATTTCTAGAAAATGAATCTCTCTGAAAATTCCAGAATTACCGAATCTCAGAATTGGAAGATACTCCAGAACTCATCTAGTCCAACTTTAACCTACATGAGAATTCTCCTCCCATGACCCATGACAAATTGGATTTGCCTATGAAAGGCACATACTGAGCTCTTTCTGCATGGTTAGGCAGGCAGCTGACATTTATTAAACATACACATCTGATTTCATTTGTATAAAACCTTTTAAAAATAATTTTGTTCATAGAGTTCTTGGGTTTGTTTTAGCAGATGTACTCCAATGTATTTTATACTGTCTAGAGTTACTTTCAATGGGGCATCTCTTAGGATCTCTTCTTGCAGGGTTTTGTTTGTGATATATAGGAATACTGGTGATTTATGGGGATTTACTTGATATCCTGATACTTCACTAAAATCTCTTTGTGGTGGCAAAGAAATGGAAATTGTGGGGATGCCCATCAGGTGGGTAAATGGGTGAACAGGTTGTGGCATATGATTGTGATAGAATACTACTGTGCTATAAGAAATGGTAGGCTTGGGGCAACTAGGTGGCACAGTGGATAGAGCACCAGCTCTGAAGTCAGGAGGACCTGAGTTCAAATCCAGCATCAGACCAAACACTTGACATTTACTAGCTGTGTGACCCTGGGGAAGTCACTTAACCCCAAATGTCTAAGCAAAAAAAAAAAAATGGTGGGCTTGATGGTTTTAGAAGAACATGGATAGACTTGTATGAAATAATAAAATGAGCTGAACCAAGAGAATGTTGTGTGCAGTAACAACAACAATATTGTTTTAAGAATCAAAAAAAGAAAACCCCAACACAAACATTTACTATATGACAGACACTGTGCTAAGTGCTAGGGATAAAAATTCAGGAAATAAGGGAGGTGAGGCAAGGAAGGGGAAAGTACTAGTATAAGGGCATGGTGATAGAGTTGGGAGACTTAGAAGCACAGACAAGAGGAGAATGAAGAGTGACAAATCTGAGCTTTTCCCCATAATGCAGAATTCTCTGAAGGAACTCATGAATAGGAAAAGGAGGGTGGCATGGGAGAATGATGTCTGAGGGTGAGAATGCCCTGGGCACTGAATCATGACTTTGAAATTCACAGAATCAGAAACACAATAGGCATGGTGATGAAAGGTCATTTTCCAGATGTTTCTTGAAGACCTGCCATGAGAAGAAACCCACCACATCCTGATAGAGCCCATTCCACATTTGGAAAGCTCTAACTGTAAGAAGTTTGTTTGCTGCTTTGTTTGTTTTCTGAGATCAAGTCCAAATTTGTCTTTTTTTGCCATGTCCTCTCTAGGTTAAGGAAAACAGGTCTAATTCCTCTTTCTAGCCTTTCAAATACCTAAAGATAGCTACCAATCCAAAAGCGGCAGGAGCAGAGCATATATCTATTGAAGGCAGATACCTTGAAAATCCAAAGAGAGAATACTTGGAGAGATCAAGAAAAGCAGTTTCTTCCTCATTTTGGTGGTAGTGTTGGTGGTAGTAGCAAGATTAGACCCTGCGGGAGTTGAAGGCTTGTAAGACAAAAGACTGACCCAGAAGGGTTGTCTTGTCCAGCCCAAAGGAAGTCTGTTCTGATTCATATTTAGTTTATCCCCCACTAAGACCCTCAAGTCTTTTTCACACATGTAAGATATACTCTGGGGTTACTCAACAAACCCACACTCAGACCAGCAAATTGAATCCAGGAGGACAACAATCATCTTCCTTCAAGGTTCTAGAGGTAGCCATGAGATGTTTAGGTATAGTTCTCCAATACTTATGAACTTAAAAACTTCAATATTTATTAACTTACACCAATGTGCTTCCTATGTTGACTTTTTAATTGATATCAATGTTAGACAATTGATTTCTAAAAAGAAGCCTTTACTAAGGTTGAATAGTACAAACAGTTTGTAGAAAATCACCCACCCCTCCAAAGGAAAAAGAAAAGGCAGTGATATAGTCTCCCACAAGTACAGAGATTGTGCAGGGGAGAGTGGAATCAAATTTAGAGAGCACTTGTTACAAAGGCGTAGCACAGTTTCTGGAAGTCCTTTTCCTCATGGTGCTTTTCTCCCCTTTCTGGAATCCCCTTGAAGTTCCTCCTAGGCATGTTGTAATGTCTGCCTATGCTTCTTAAAACATCCCAGTGCTGTAATTAGTAGAAAGTTTTTCCCTCCATCAAATCTAAATATTATTTTTTTTGCAATTTCCATGAATTATCAGTAGTCTTGCTCTCTGACAACCCTTCAAAAACTTGAAAGCAGTTGTCTCTCCCTTTCTCATCATGATATTCATATCCAATCTTACCTGTTCTTTAAAACCCTTCTAGCCTTTGTTTGGGCTCCTCTCTCTCTGTTTTTCTCCCCACCCCAGCCTTCCCCACATCCTTGGAGGCAGATAAGTGCAGTAACCAACTGACAACTGATCTGAGTCTCTAGTTCATTATATGGTTGCATCATATACCATCAAACCACCTCGTACCAAATACTTCCTGGATCCAACTCATAGTAGAATTCTGCCTAATTTTGGTTGTTGATTTTTGTGTTTGTGTTACAAGTGTCCTGAGTAAAAGTCTGAGCATGCAGAGGAATGGGCATAGGAATAGAAGGTGGAAAGGAGAGGTAGAAGAGGGAACAAAATAAATATAATACATTTAGAAATAATACAATCAGAATTTCAGATTATCTGGTCTAACTCTTATGAGAAAGAGAAAAAGAAAAGAAAAAAAACCAAGTAGACAAAGTAGATAAAAGATGACAAAATCAATAAAAATTACATTAGGATGTAGGTAGAGAATAGTAGGAACTGTTGTGTGCCAAAGAGACAGCTGTTCCTGGTGAATTTAAGACCATCTCAGGAATGTGCCCAGATATTGCAGTGATGGCTTATATATCACATAATGGCTGTAAAAGGACAATTAGCTATCAGGTACATTGATGTACTGTACTCCAAATAGTATGGAGTCTATGCCTATGTCCTAATCATATATTTCTTCTTCACACTCTCCCTACACAGTCTAGCCCCTCCTCTAAAAACTCCCTATGTTCTTGACTACCTAAAGATCATGGGAAATGCTTTCAGGATACTTATCAGCTGCTGTGAAGGTAGGCAATCTTTCCATCATCTCCCCTGCCTTCACCCGCTCTCCATGACCCTGTGACCTTGCATTGAATGATAAGCTCAGCCTCCAGCACCATTCAGAGGTCTGTAGATTTAGGGAATATAGGAGTCATCTATGGTTTGTAAGAAAATGACCTTATTATATAGCTCAGTACCCCATGTCTATGAGTAATGACATAACCCCTCTCTCTTCACTAGGCTTCCCATTGGTGCATCTGAGACTTACTTCTGGCTAAAGATTGTCCCTGGTGTTT